AACATTTGGATTTTGGTAGAACCTACTTCAATTTTCTCAAGTCGGTCTTGTCAGTCACTCGATGTGTGTCAACAATAACGTCCATACAAATATTCATGGAGAAATCTAATCTAGCATTTGCTTGAGTTTTCGGCATCACATGCAAGAGACGTTTTTCTGGTGTAGATACTAACAGGATCCTCTTAAAATGAGGGACCAATATGTCTTTCAGGATGAAGGCTGTGATTTTAAAAATATATTTGTATGTATAGGCTATATATAAATTTTTTTTCTTTCTATAAATCACGATTTCGGTGGATTGTGAAATAACATTTCCCATAATGCTTAATACAAAACTAAAGGAATATGTTTTTTCTATAAATATTCAGAAAATAAGACCAGTTATTAAAAGTCTAAACCTAAAAGTGAACGCATTCTCATCCCAAGGCGTCATATACTGACACTTTTGCCAAAGCATCTACATCCGACGCACATGGCACCCTTTAGCGTCAACAGGGGCGGCCTTACCTATGTTTCACCCGTTTCAATTGAAACAGGCCCCGCCCTCCAAGGGGGCCCCAACAGACCAGCAAAATCCCATTCATTTTCTCCGTAGGATATTGATTTTCAGCCATAATGTCTACTCTAAACCATTCAAGGTAGATTGACCACGAGCTACGAGGTTGTAAAATTAAAGTTTCTGCTCCTTTAAAAGCCACAAGCTACGAAATCAACCTTGTTATTTGCAAAACACTGACGTCTCTGATTGGTCGAACTCGCGGTTACCATGGTGGCGGTTACCATGGCGACGTTTACCACTCCCACGAACGGCTTAAGCGATCTGAAGTATAATATCGGTAGTTTATGTATTATACACCTTTGCCTTTTTTGCCGTTAGGTTAAAATGTTATTTTGAGCAGAAAAATAATTTTAAGAGGAAATGAAACGTACATATGCCAGTGGTGCTGAAAAACGAAAGATATCGGACAACAAAAGAAAAGCTTTATTCAGTCTACCAAAAGTGAAGTTACTCTGCGTGAAAGGGCGAGGCTTATTCCAATGTAAAACGCTGTATAATTGTATAGTTTTAATCAAATAAGGTTGGATTATTTCTATGTTGAGCTGCCTGTTCATGAAGCTGAAAGTGCACGTAATAAAATAATATACCATTGATGCAAACCAACAGGAATCCTTGGAATCCTCTATTATGTTTATGTTTTATGTGGGTAGGGCCCCTTATTAGTTATTGAAACGGGCCCCCAGATGCTTAAGGCCGCCACTGAGCGTCAATATAACACGCTTTGGTTATGGGTAGGTTTAGGTCTGGGGTAGTGTTATGATTAGACCACTAGGAGGCGCCTTCTGGCCCTTATATATCTTCGTCTCATATTGACGCTAAAGGGTGCCATGTGCGTTGGATTTAGACGATTTGGCAAAAGCGTCAGTATATGACGCCTTAGGATGAGAACGGGCTCTTATTTCAGCTAATGCAATTTGTACGACAAAGGGGTTTGTATAGTGTGTGTGTGTGTGTGTGTGTGTGTGTGTGTGTGTGTGTGTGTGTGTGTGTGTGTGTGTGTGTGTGTGTGTGTGTGTGAATATACACACACACACACACACACACACACACATATTTGAAGTTCTAAGGATAGTTGGTATTACAAAATTTTGATAAAATAAAGAGAATCTAATTGAATGGTACGTTTGTGTTAATGTATAGTGATCATCTCTGATTCATTTCAAAGTTGAAAATATGGGGTGTTTTGTCCCAATTTTCAAGAATCAGTGTGCTGGGTGTAAAAGTACCTTTTGTTGAATCACATGAACTGTAAATAAAGATCGTGTCCACGACACAATGAATGAAAACAGGCAAACGAGCCTGAAACCAGTCAGACCTATTCAAGAAAGAAGGTTTTAAACATACGCATGACAATGAACACTTTGCCTTGAGGACATTAAATGTGAATTTAGCTTTTGTTAGAAGCTTCAAGCCAGTTACATGCAGTTACTGAAGCTGAAGGGAAGTCAACATACCTTCGCTGTCCTTGAGCACGATTCTGATGAGAACCAGCTGGATTTATCTGTGACACTTTCAGCTGCTTAAATCCCCATGATTCCCATGTACAATCATCTCTGTGTTAGATAAGGACAAGTTTTTGGCTGAACGGCATCTGACTGAATTTCACAAAAGGTCATCCAATCAAAGACACGTGCAAAAACATGAAATCAAATTCTTACCGCATTTACAGCATGTTCATATGAGTTTCATTTTGTGGAAAAGTTGCTTTACTGCACGTATGTTAGTGATTTGAACAAAACCGCAAAGTGTAAGCAGGAGTAATATTGATACTTGGCCAAGCAAACCGATAACATAGACGTTAAAATATAGTGTTACCGACTGATAAGATAAAAGTATTAAAGACATCTGGAGTGTGAACTTTGAGCAGTTTCAAAACTTTTTACAAGTTTCTGTTTTGAGCTCATTTACAGCAAGAGCAGAAAGATGATGAACAACCTTTTTTTATTTTGAACGTTGTAGGTATAAACAAATATAAAACATACCAATAAAAAATTATATGTGGAACATTCATATGCTATACGATAAAAAGATGCCAATTATTACAAAATATTTATTGGACGAGATAATTGGTTCAGATAAAAACATTTTTTGAGCTGTAAGCGTAAGTGGTTTACAATTATTCATGTTCAGGAAAATAATAAAAAGTTCAGTAGCTTTAATTTAACCAATTAGACTTTTTTTTTTCTCAATGTGAAAATCAAACTCTTTTGGTTTTGACATGAAGACACTATACTGTGTTCATGAACATTAGTTGATATGCTCTCATGTATTACACGTCCAATCATGAATTATTCTTATCTGATACACTGATCAAATGTTTGGGGTCATTAAGATTTTCATTTATTTTTATCCAGCAAGGATGCATTAAATTGATCAAAAGTGACAGTAAATACATTTATAATGTTACAAAAGGTTTATATTTCAAATAAATGCTGTACTTTTGAACTTTCTATTTATCAAAAAAAAAAAAAAAAAACACAAATCACTGTTAAAGGAGAACATAAAATCGCGCGCGCGCACTCGACAGTCGACTACTGTGGACTTCGAACGAAAACAGGAAGTAAATACAGGTATGTGAGCTGGCTGAATTAACATCATTTTTATTAATATCTTTCACATCTACTGCAGTCAGATTGACCGTGGTCACTCTTAATAACACCACTCGCATGGCTGTGCACTTGTAATGACACATTAAGGTTGTTAAGAGGCTAAAAGCAGGTTTAGAACTTGCCCTATTGAAGTCAACAGGGTGCGAATTTTAAAAAGAGGATAACACGGTGTAGGCAACACCGATTTTTGTCGTTTTTGTCTTTACTGACAGCACTCCAAATGTACAAAATAATTAGCTCAATGTTAAAATTGACCGGAGTTCTCCTTTAAACACAAAAAAACTGTTTTCAACACTGATAATAATAATAATAATAAATGTTGATATTGAGTTCTGAAGGATCATGTGACCCTGAAGACTGGCGTAATGATGCTGAAAATTCAGCTTTGATCACATGAATACATTACATCTTAACAAGTTATTTTTATTTTTTATTTTAACAGTTACTCGTTTTTACTGTATTTTTTTTTATCAAATAAATGCAGCCTTGGTGAGCATAACTTTCAAAAACATTAAAAAAAATCGTACTGACCCCAAACTTTTAGACAGTCGTGTATATGCACAAACTTACAACAATCCTGCAAAAATACTCCACATTGCTTTGGGACGTTCAACTAAACAATAGTTGCATTTTACATATGTATAGGCAAAAGTGTAAACATGAATCACAATCTTCTTCACATTCACTGTGTAAGTCACTATAAGCTCAGTCCTCATATATTTTAAGGCCGTCTCGTTTTTGGTGACTAAACCAGAGTCAAAGAGAGTCTCTGTTCCACATAGAAGAAAAAAGAGGGACACATCATTCATATTCACTAAATATAGACTCCATAAAAAATTGCAGCATTAGAAGCTCACAGTAGACAGCAGGTTCTGTTGTACAGGGTTTGTATGATTGATTGTCAACAACTGGTAAGAGGGGATGAAAAAATTGTTTAAATAAAATAGGAATTGTTTTTCCTCTATAAATAACATAGGTGAGACATTCAGCATGATGATGCACAACATGGCGTCAGTTTGTTTTGCTTTTGGGTAGCCCCGCCCCTTAGTGAAACCTCATTGGTTTAGAATCTGCGTACAGCTTTATGATTGGCTGTGATTTTAACACTACGAGCAGCGTTTCACGTCGTTAAGAACTGAAGTGAAATCTAACTTTACACTTGTTTAGGATGTCGTGATAATGTTCAGAGTCAGACGGCTGTTAATATACAGCTAGTTAATATTTTTGTTACCTATTGTGGACAGGTTGGTTAGTAAGATTAATTTCCAAAATATTTTTATATATACACACACATACACACGTGCCTTGGTTAGCTAGTGGTACTAATTATAAACGGCGTCCTTATGAGAGATAGCGAGATCGACACGAGATTGCAGAGTTGTCATGGATAAAGACTTTAGTAAATAAAACATTCAAATAAAGTAGTATTTTATAAAAATTAATCATGCTATGCAGATGTGTCTGGATATTATAACACCAAATTGTTGTGGTTATAAAAGGCTATAAAGTCCCTAAACCTACCGCCACAGGAAAACATTTCGTTACATCAAAAAATAAAGTCACTATAATCCAGTTATATATATATATGTATGTATGAAGACTTCAGAAGCAAAAGCCTCTAAGTCTGTCTAACGTTTTTCTTTTATATTAACATTTTTATCAGGTTCCTATGTATAGGTTTCTACTTAAGTAGCCTACCTGAATTTCTGAATGGGCTGAGGCTGGGATTTTGTGAGCTTGAAGTGAAATTATTTGATGAACGTATAGGCCTACTATGTGAGCAAATCTCATTTTTGACATAGGTGGCTTTTGAATCGGAGGTCTTAATATATATATATATGTATATAGCATCTAATTACCAGTGTGAGAAAGACCTTTTTTGGCATCTGTTCCATGTTCATACTTTTCTTCCTGGATTTCTTACTCAGGATACCACAAACTCTTGTCTTCCGATGACTTAGAAAAGTTCACTTTCTTTCCCATGCCGAAAGAATCGCTTCCAACAGCAGAAGTACATCTAGTCAGTAAATGTCAACCGGTGGTTTTGAGGTTGTCATGGAAACGGCCAGTTCCCCTTGAAAAAGTTCGTCTTTGTGCTCCGATACAATAAAGTCCCTCAGGGTTCATTAGATGTCAGGCGATCTGTGCACTTGGCGTATATGAGCGTGCATAAAACAAAAAGCGGTATAAACACGGTCAGCCGTCTGTAGAGGAGTATAAAATCTAATATTCAGTGTTAGTTCATGCATTCACTCGCTCTCTCTCTGAAATGTGAGTGTTGTCCTGTGGAAGAGAGCGCGGTCAGTGCCAGTGTACAGTGTGTGTGTGTGCAGCAGCGTGTGTGTGTGGCTGTCTGTACGAGACGTGGTGCAGCATCCAGTGGTTTCGGAGTGTCTGCCCTCACAGGTCAAAGGTCAGGCTCATGCAGGCCTGCTGTAGGAGTAAAGATTGTTCCTGTCCGTGTCTGCTATCTGAAGGCTAGGTTTGCGTTCGCTGTCTTCGTTTTCAGCGTTTTCGACATCCTGGCAGCGGGGCGGGCGCTCTTTGAAGAAGTCAGAGACGTATCGCACCTGTGACGGAGAGCAGAAACACTTAATGCAACTCGCAAAATAGACCATTAGTTCACATTCCACTATAAATCACAAAAAGAAGTGATATATACACTGCCGTTCAAAAGTTTGGGATCGGTAAGATTTATGTTTTTAAAATAAGTCTCTTATGCTCACCAAGGCTGCATTTATTTGATCAAAAAAACTGTAATATTGTTAAATATTATGACAATTTAAAACTGTAATGTATTCCTGTGATCAAAAGTTGAATTTTCAACATCATTACTCCAGTCTTCAGTGTCACATGATCCTTCAGAAATCATTCTAACATGATGATTTGCTGCTCACGAAACGTTTAGTATTATTATCAAACTTGAAAACAGTTGTGTACAAAATCTTTTCAGGATTCTTTGATTAAGCGAGGGTTCTATTTCATTTATTTGAAATAGAATCTTTTGTAACATTATAAATGTCTTTACTGTAATTTCGATCCATTTAACTCATCCTTGCTGAATAAAAGGATTGATTTATTTTATTTTTTTCAGAAGGATCATGTGACACTAAAGACTGGAGTAATGATGCTGATAATTCAGCTTTGATCACAGGAATAAATTCCATTTTAAAATAGATTCAAATAGAAAACTATTATTTTAAATTGTAGAGAAATTTGGTTAAAATTACTGTAACTAGTGCAATGCCTGTGCAAAATCAGTTTTTGTTTGTTTTTAGTGATTGTTGCTTTGGTATGTTTGAGTTGCTGAATAGCCTATGCTACTATTACACAGGAGCCTAAACTCTGAGAAAACGCTAACGTTAAGCGCACCAGAATAAAATATAAGATTCAGAATTAAACAGTGTAGCTGACTTACAAATTCAGTTAAATCGCTACTTTTTCAAAAAGAATCGTTACTATAATTACATTGTAATAAACGTATAATTAAATTGTAATAAATGTATAATAACACTGTAATAAATGTATAATAACACTGTAATAAATGTATAATAACACTGTAATAAATGTATAATAACACTGTAATAAATGTATAATTACACTGTTATAAATGTATAATAACACTGTAATAAATGTATAATAACATTGTAATAAACGTATAATTACATTGTAATAAATGTATAATAAGACTAACAAATTGAAGACTTTTGAATTGAAGAATTATCGGCCTATTTCAAAATTTTCATGCTTGTCAAAGGTTTTAGAGAAGGTGGTTTACGCACAGCTGATGTTATTTTTAAGTGAACATGAGATCCTAGATAAATTTCAGTCCGGTTTTAGGGCAGGTTATAGTACGGAATCAGCACTCTTGAGAGTTGTTAATAGGGCTGGGTATCGATTCAGATATTCAAATCCGATTCGATTTCGATTCACAAGCTCACAGTTCGATTCGATTTCGATTCTCGATTCGATTTCGATTCTCGATTCGACTATAATGAATATAGATGTAATACAAATCTCAGTCTAAATATCAGCTATCATTTTTTAGACAATTTTTTATTACATTGATCTCACCTAAATGTTTGTTTTTACAATGGGGTAATTTTTTTGTTAAGAGTTTATGCAACACATGGAAGCTTGATTTCAATCTTTGAATTAAATTGAAAAAAGTAGCACAAATAAATACAATAGAATAGGCCTAAAGACACAAATAAAGAGACATAAAAAGAAAAGTTTTTGGGTAGGTCAGAAATACTACAGAAACTGAATAAAGTAATCCAATGTAAAATAACACTGGATAGTCTTTTAGTCCTGACTGAATTAAATACATATAGGCTATTAATTCTGATTCCTTACAATTAATGCTATATTATGTTGTTTTGACAACAAAATTAATGACAGACACATATGGCTGCGTTCACTTTAAGAACTAGTGCACGGATCCATTACTGTTTCATTATACTGTCTGTCAGACGCGTTTTATGCTTATTTAAGACATAACCGACTGTCTTTACGAGGTTACTCACCAAGACCAGAGTTTTGACATCATTTTGCGTGTTTTTAACTGTTAAAGCGATATAATCCACGAAAAAGAACTTTTGTTACTGGCGAGCTGTTTGTGAGGCGGATTTAGGCTTTACTGTATGTGCACGCAATGAAAAACATGCGCGAGTGCGCGAGCACAGGATAGTTTAAAATTGCTTGAATGTTTAAACTGGTAAAACTTAAAGTCGTGAAAATGATAAACGTTAGTTACGATGCACTGCTGGCCCGATTGTGCAAGTGAATCATGTCCCGACTCCTAAACACGAGTGTGTATCGACGCCTGCAGCGCTTGATGCTTGCCTTGTGCAGAGTGAGAAGACGCAGCAGCGCGAGCCCTGAATATGAAAAAAATCGATTCGTGGCCGTTGAGAATCGATTTTGAATCGACCACATTTTAAAAAACGATTAATCGAAAAATCAATTTTTTTGCCCTAGTTGTTAATGACCTTCGTTTAATCCGAGATGCAGGTAATGCTGCAGCTCTGATTTTATCGGACTTGAGTGCGGCTTTTGATACTATAGACCATGTGATTCTCATAGAGCGGTTATCCCAATTGGTTGGAATACGTGGGACAGTTTTAAAGTGGTTCAAGTCGTATCTTACTGATAGAACATTTTCAGTAAAGTATGGTAACTTTGTATCAACAGCAGTGCCCGTCACTTGTGGGGTTCCTCAGGGTTCTGTTATAGGCCCTATTTTATTTTCTTTGTACATGTTGCCCCTGGGTTTGATTTTTAAAAAATATGGCATGTCGTACCATTTGTATGCCGACGATACACAAATCTATCTCCTGTTGAAATCAGGAGAGAATTGTGGTTCTAATTCTCTGTTGGCATGCCTGGAGGAGGTTAAGAGCTGGATGACTCATAATTTGGTTCAGTTAAATCAAAGTAAAACTGAGATCATGTTTTTCGGCCCTGCCAGAAGATGCCTTGAAATTGCAACATATTTTTGGCACATGGTCAGATTATTGCCATGACCAAGTAAAAAACGTAGGTGTTGTGTTTGACCCAGAGCTGAAATTTGACAAGCAGATTAATGCCGTGGTTAAGAGTTGTTTTTTCCAGATTAGGACTATTGCACGCTTAAAACCTATTCTGTTGAGAAAAGATTTAGAAAAGGTTATTAATGCCTTTGTTCTGTCCCGCCTTGACTATTGTAATGTTTTGTATAACAAATGTATAATAACACTGTAATAAATGTATAATAACATTGTAATTAAACGTATAATTACATTGTAATAAATGTATAATTACATTTTAATAAACGTATAATTACATGTAATAAATGTATAAGACTGTAACAAATGTATAATAATTTTTTTATACTATTTTCAAAAAGAATCGCTACTTTTTCAAAATTATGTAACAAAATAATGTAACAAATGTATAATAATGTAACAATGTATAATAACACTGTAATAAATGTATAATAACACTGTAATAAATGTATAATAACACTGTAATAAATGTATAATAACACTGTAATAAATGTATAATAACACTGTAATAAATGTATAATAACACTATAATAAACGTATAATTACATTGTAACAAATGTATAATAACACTGTAATAAAGGATAATTACATTTTAATAAACTTATTACATTGTAATACATTTATAAGACTGTAACAAATGTATAATCACATTTAGTACACTACTTTTTCCAAAAAGAATCGCTACTTTTTCCAAAAAGAATAATGTAACAAAATAATAATGTAACAAATGTATAATAATAATAAAACAAATGTATAATAACACTGTAATAAATGTATAATAACACTGTAATACATGTATAATTACATTGTTATTATACATTTATTAGTGTTATTATACATTTATTACACTGTAATGTATAATTATATTGTAATAAACATATAATTACATTGTAATAAACATATAATAACACTGTAATAAATGTATAATAACATTGTAATAAACTTATAATTATATTGTAATAAATGTATAATAAGACTAGCAAATGTATAATTAAATTTTTTTACACTACTTTTTCAAAAAGAATAATGTAACAAAATAATAATGTAACAAATGTATAATAATAATAATGTAACAAATGTATAATAACATTGTAATTAAACGTATAATTACATAATAAACGTATATTACATTGTAATGTTTAATAACACTGTAATAAATGTATAATTTAGTGCTGGGCCGTTATCGGCGTTAACGTGCTGCGTTAACGTGAGACTCTTATCGGGCGATAAAAAAAATATCGCCGTTAATCAAAGTTGGGTTGGGATCATAAATAGCTTTTTCGAATATCGTTATATTTTCGCGCAATTCTAATGTGTAGTATGACGCCGCGCCTACTGTCACAGATCGCGCAGTAGGGTATTTTCCTGTCAGGGACACAAGGTGTACTTTTACTTTGTTACGTTGGGCGACGTTCCTCTCGTTACTTTATTTTAATGCAATACGTTGTTAAATGAGTTTATTCCAAGCGCGCTGTGTCCTTTGTATGGGCATGAGCGATGCTCATTTACAAATGAATCACTCTTTTGAGTCGATTCTGTTCAAAGACTTCATCAAACAAGTTGTCAGATGATCTGTCTAAATCGGTTCGCGAATCAGTTGATCTGTTCAGTTCCTCGCGCACTGAATCGTCTGAAGCGCTTTCAATTCACACTCGGAGTCGAAAGAGGAAGATTTAAGAGCATCAAGAGTGTTGGATGAAGTGGCCGATCTACAGTCTAGTCTAGTGAATGCAAATCTGCAAATGCATCATATTTTTGCCAGCGATGAAGATCTTTATTAGTTGAACATCTTCGTAAGCTGTCTGTGAATGAATGATTCCACAGGACGATACATTCCATTTCATTTCATTCAGGTAATACATTGTGTGTGTATTGCGCGTGTATTGTGCAGTGGCATAATCACACGAATAGTTTACATTGATTGAAACTAATTTGTTTAAAAATGAGGCTATTGCAGTAACAAGGCAGGTTCACATAAAATTCTTATGACATATGATGACATTATTTTTTGACCTAACGAGCATTGGCGATGCAAAAACGGACTGTCGTGCGTATTGTTTTTTTTCTTCTTCCAATAAGCCTACTATGTTAAAAAAAGGACGAAAACATGTTACTTGTTCAATTAATAAACAGTTTGTTTGATGACAAATCGCTAAAGATGAAATTGGCCTCCCTTTCTGTCATTGCGGGGTTTTTTTGTTTTTTTTTACGATATTCGACTTTTGCTCCTCGATTGTCGAATGGCATTTTTGGCAGAAATCCACATCCCTACGCGAGGCTAACTATTCTCAAAGACTTACTTTTAGTCATTATTTGGGTAGCACACATATTCTGAATGCCTTCGGGAGAATTCAAATGAGCCATTTTAATCTAGATTAATCTAGATTAAAAAAATGAATCTATGCCCACCTCTAGTATAATTACATTGTAATAAATGTATAATAACACTGTCATAAATGTATAATAACAACCTTGAAAAGAATCGCTACTTTTTTACTTCAGAAGTAACTGACTTAATGTTTAGCTGACTGAATGTTTATTTTTAAACCACAACTTCAATGTGTGCTTTTTTTACCGATATATTTACAGATATCTTTTGCATTTCTAATCCAAACAACGTCAAACTCGGCACTGCACTTTCTCGTGCCCGTAGAAAGACACCTGTCAAGTTTGAAATCCATCGGACTAACGGTTCGAGAGATATTCGATTAACAGACAGACACACAGACGTTCCTGTAATTTATAGATACATATAGAACAGAAAAAAAAAAACATTCTAATTAAGTGCAATTTTACCAAATGTACCAAATTTTTCTCTTTTTTTTTAGCATAAATCTAAGTTATTGAAGATTGAGGGAGAGTATTTAAATAGATTTAATTATCATGAAAATGCAAACAAATCCCAGTGGTTCTACAACAGGACATTTTCCTTATGCATTTTTATTTGTATTTTAATTTTGGGGTGAAATTTAAGCTGGTTTCATGAGATTACTCCACTCACCGTGAGGACTGCGATCAGCGCCCCTTGCAGAAGACCCACGACCACGTCGCTCCAGTGGTGTTTGTAGTCAGACACACGTGTGTATCCCACATAAATGGCAAAGGCCACCAGGAAGAACTGAATTGTGGGCCGGAGGAGGCGGGCCCACTTGGATGCCATTCGTGCCTGGACATACAGCTACACGGGATGAGGAAAAACAACGACGGATTACGCAATATTTTAAAAGAGGATATGGGAAGAAAAATAGATAATCAACCTTGTGCATTCAGCAGCAGGAAACGAAATATAAAAAGTCTTTAAGTTGTGGGAAAGCACCTTGTCTAAATATGACTTGGCGGCATCTTAACTACAGACACGTCGGAACATGAGTGAAGCAACCAGAAAACCTTAAGTGTTTATTAATTCACCCTCATGTCGCCACAAACCTGTATGACTTTCTCTCTTCGGTGGAACACCAAAAGAGAAATTCTGAAGAACATTCATGCTAAGAAGAAAAAAAGTCATGCAGGTGTGAGGATGAGTAGCCTAAATGATGTCAGAACTTAAAGGGTAACTAAACCCCTGGTCAGAGCCTGACTCCACCCACTGGCAATATTTGAAAAATGCTGGAAAAGTGGGCGGAGCCCAGCGGAGGGGGGCGTGCACCCGAGACAGGTCTCTCTGTAGGCAAGGGGGCGTGGTTAGCTGGTGCCTGCTTACATCACAGGGCACCACAACTTCCAATAGGAAAATTCAACTGCAGTAGCCACCGTTCAACCTGAAGAGGGCAGCACTCAGACGTTTTTACACCATATATTGTAGAATTAAAACACTTTATACCCAAATGTCAAAAAAATTACTTGAATCAATGAACAGCATTAATAAAGCCCCAGTCTTACAGATCATTAGCTAAAAAAAAGTTGTTTTAGGGTTTAGTTACCCTTTAAAGAGGACCTATTGTGCTTTTTTACATTTTCAACTGTCTTTAGTGTGTAATGTTGCTGACTACACTACAAGTCACTACAAAGCGAGTTATTCTCTATATCAGTGTCACCATTTCTGACAACTCCCTGAAACGCATCGATTGTAGTCTTGAAAATTCTTCCGGGAACGAACACGTCACAATATTCCTCATTTAAATAATTAATACACAGAATAAAGGGGTGGGGTCTGATTAAGTGTGTAGAAAGTCGCAGTTATGGTTAGGGGGCGGGACTTTTTCTTAAACATGCTCGAATCGGTTGACCAATCACAAAACACTGGTCCAGCCGACCAATCAGAGCACATTGAGCTTTTCAGAAGGAGGGGCTTCATAGAGACAGGAACTAAACGATTGGGAAGAGAGGAGCTGCAACAATGTCAAATACGTGAAAAATACTGTTTTTTTTAACATTCAAATATGAAAACCTATTCTAGTAGGCCCCAAACAACTAAATCAAAACTTTGTTTTAATAGGTCCCTTTAAGCATTGCATACTATCTTGATTTAAAGCTTGAGATGTTTGAGGTCATAGTTTATTGTCTCTATCATGTTTCCTGTTGCTCTGAGAGGGTCTGCTTTATCTGTCTACACAAGTCTTCTGTGTCAGCATGATTGTAGAAGAGGAAGACAACTGTGACAACTCACCGCCAGAAACAACATGCAGTACATCCCGAAGGAGGAGTGACCGGAGTAGAAGGACAGCCTGGTGCAACAGAACCGACGGAGGAAGGGCGGATGGGACAGATACAAAACAACAGAGGGAGAGAGGAAAAAGAATCATTTTCACAGTTCACGCATCATTTAGAACGAAACGGTCATGGGTCATTCTTCACTTTAAGGGACTTTTTGTCAAACTATGTTTCAAGATATCAACTGTGCTAAAACATTTATCACATGTCCATAATGGCCTTGACCTTCAAATGCATTTTGGTATGCGTGATGCCAATGACCTTTTTATGTTTAGGAGAAAGAGCTTTATAACTCTTGGACTTGCAAGGTCAACAAATAACTTTTAATTAATAAAATAATAAAAAGAAGTGGACTTCTAACAGTAAATATCAGATTATTTAAATATAGAGATACATGATGTAAAAATATTTAGAAACAGGGCTTGACATTAAAACCTGCCAAATGCGGGTGTATTCCAGCAGTGGTGTGTAACGCAGTGACTCCTACTAGACACTTTGACGGGTTGAATTTTATATATAATATACTTTTTCAATTGAAGTCTTTTAAAAAGGCATCTGAAATAATAAACTAAGTGCAATGTAGTGTTGTCAAAAATATAGATTATTTTAATACGATACTGAAATATCTGAAACGCTTCTAATACTCATTTTCAGCAGAATAGATAGACTATATCAGCTGCGGTTTCTCTCTCTCTCATCTCTCCGAGAGCGAGTGACACACAAACCCGCCTCTCCTCACTCACTCGTTTCATTTGCTCTGGATAAATATTGTTGTTACAGGGCTTGAATCTCAGCGAGGGATTGCGCATATTGTGCATCATTTTACTAATTCTAGCAGATTTTGTGCTCAAACACCCCTAAGTGCAGCACATAAAGCCGCCTCTCATTACTAACTGAGTTTTTTTAAGCTGCTTATTACGCTCAAACCGGCATTTTGACATTATTTTGTCTTGGTGATTATTCATGTCGTAAACACAGTCAGTTATGTTTAAAGTAAACCTAAACAGTTTAGAAAGAAAACACGTGTTACGGTATAATGGATCCGTGCGTCAGGTCTTAAAGTGACGGCAGCCTAATATACCTGCTGCCAAATTATGAGATAATATCAAAAATATCTAATATGACAGTTTTTCCCAATGGTATTGATGTCAAAATTGTGGCCAGTGAAAATGCTGAGTGGCTAGTAACTTTGGAAAATCACTAGACACAGTGGCTGGTGAGCAAAAAAGTTAACGTCAAGCCCTGATTACAAATAATAATAATAATAAAATATTTCAAAATAATATTTTTAATTAAAAAAAAGTTCCCCTAATTATGGAAGCTTGTTTCCGCCACAGAATGAAAAATAAAAAAAGGTAATTGCGAGTTTACATCTCGCAATTCTGACTTTATTTCTCAGAATAGCGAGATATAAAGTCAGAATTGCGTGATATAAAGTCAGAATTGCGTGTTATAAAGTCAGAATTGTGAGATATAAACTAGATAAACTGGCCTGATAACTCGCAATTGCGAGTTTATATCTCACAATTCTGAGAAAAGATGTCACAATTTCGAAATATAAACTCGCAATTATGTGTTATAAAGTCAGAATTGCGAGATGTAAACTCGCAATTGTGAGAAAAAATGTCAGAATTGTGAGATAAAGTCTCAATTCGGTCTTTTTTTCTCCCAATTGTGACTATTTCTCACAATTCTAACTTCATCTCGCAATTGTGAGATAAAAAGTCGCAATTATTATTATTATTTTTTTATTCAGTGGCGGAAACAAGCTTCCATACCTAATTGACAAATCGCCCAGATAGAACTGAAATATTTTCTAAACACTGGTCATGCTTTGTGTTGCATGTACACTCACCGGCCACTTTATTAGGTACACCTGTCCAACTGCTCGTTAACACTTAATTTCTAAGCAGCCAATCACATGGCGGCAACTCAGTGCATTTAGGCATGTAGACATGGTCAAGACAATCTCCTGCAGTTAAAACCGAGCATCAGTATGGGGAAGAAAGTTGATTTGAGTGACTTTGAACGTGGCATGATTGTTGGTGCCAGAAGGGCTGGTCTGAGTATTTCAGAAACTGCTAATCTACTGGGATTTTCACGCACAACCATCTCTAGGGTTTACAGAGAATGGTCCGAAAAAGAAAAAACATCCAGTGAGCGGCAGTTCTGTGGGCGGAAATGCCTTGTTGATGCCAGAGGTCAGAGGAGAATGGCCAGACTGGTTCGAGCTGATAGAAGGGCAACAGTGACTGAAATAACCACTCGTTACAACCGAGGTATGCAGCAAAGCATTTGTGAAGCCACAACACGCACAACCTTGAGGCGGATGGGCTACAACAGCAGAAGACTCCACCGGGTACCACTCATCTCCACTACAAATAGGAAAAAGAGGCTACAATTTGCAAGAGCTCACCAAAATTGAACAGTTGAAGACTGGAAAAATGTTGCCTGGTCTGATGAGTCTCGATTTCTGTTGAGACATTCAGATGTTAGAGTCAGAATTTGGCTTAAACAGAATGAGAACATGGAACCATCATGCCTTGTTACCACTGTGCAGGCTGGTGGTGGTGGTGTAATGGTGTGGGGGATGTTTTCCTGGCACACTTTAGGCCCCTTAGTGCCAATTGGGCATCGTTTAAATGCCACGGCCTACCTGAGCATTGTTTCTGACCATGTCCATCCCTTTATGGCCACCATGTACCCATCCTCTGATGGCTACTTCCACCATGTCACAAAGCTCTAATCATTTCAAATTGGTTTCTTGAACATGACAATGAGTTCACTGTACTAAAATGGCCTCCACAGTCACCAGATCTCAACCCAATAGAGCATCTTTGGGATGTGGTGGAACGGGAGATTCGGATCATGGATGTGCAGCCGACAAATCTGCGGCAACTGTGTGATGCCATCATGTCAATATGGACCAAACTCCCTGAGGAATGCTTCCAGCACCTTGTTGAATCTATGCCACGAAGAATTGAGGCAGTTCTGAAGGCAAAAGGGGGTCCAACCCGTTACTAGCATGGGGTACCTAATAAAGTGGCCGGTGAGTGTATAATCAAATCTATTTATACTTCAAGCCTCTTGAGGAAATATGGCATTTGAAACCACAAGTGAGACCTTTGGACTGCAAAGGTCACAGCATAAGAAAGCACAAATGTACTGGACAAACAGGAAGTGAAACAACAGGTGAACAGCAGAAATAAACAAATACAGGAAGTGAGGTCAGCAGTTTATGACCTCTGACACCAGCCCTTCCCATCCCCTGCTTCTGTACCTGGATTCTGTCACGTTGCGATGGGTTCCCGTGCAGTTTATCTCCAGCACGTAGCCGTCACACACTTCTGGAGCACACACCGCCATGAAGTTGGGGCGCAAGCGTCCGATGGTGTACTTGGCCATATCGGTCAGAGACTGGCTCACACACGCGCCGAACAGAAACGTCCCCACCACTTTGTAGAGCGCCACAGCGTACTGGTTAAAGTCTGAATTGGAGTAAAGCCGTTTGGTGTAGACCAGGTAGGCCTCTCCGGATGTGATCTGCAAGTGAGGAAAAATGAAGTCACTTAAGCATTTTACCCATGTATGAGCAATAGCAATAACGATCCATGAGTAAATATTGGTACATTGTATTTTTTTTATATTAAATTTTTTATTGATTTTGTATACATCTATTATGATTACTTTGTCAAGCACTTTGAATCCCCATTGTGTAACTATCAAATGGTACATAAATAAACTTGCCTTAAGGTTCATTCTCAGTAATAAAAGTAAATATATGAGTCTGTCGGATGTAGATGACTCATGTTTTGAATTGTACTCTGATGAATCATACTGAACTAATCACAATGTTCTCTCAGAACATGTGGCCACAATACAAAACCAACCTGCATCTTTTCACAATCAAATACAGCCCCGAAATTTCACAATTACTACAACTGGTTGGTTCTCAAAAGTGCTCCAACAATAAATCCCTTTAGACAGTTACGATGCTTCTTAAACATACAGTTCACAGAAAAATAAAAACTATGAACTAACAGTCACTATGAACTAAAGTCAAACCCACATATGTCAAACCCAATCAAAGTAGTTCATTGAATTGTGTGCTATATTCTGAATTCTGCTCTGAATTCCTATGATAGCTTTGTGTGAAGAACAGGCAGATATTTAAGTAAGAAGATCACTTCCCCGTGAGCTTCATGAGAACCACTGTGAGTCAGTGAGTTAAAATCATGAAACACATTAATTTGATTCTTTTGGTCTTCTTTGGGTCCTTTTTGAAGCTTGACAGCCACAGTCACTATCCTCTTTTTTCAACATAACATTCCATGTTTTCCAATGGAAAAACATTCCTCTCGCTTATAAAAATACAATTCACTGCAGTTTCCTGCTGAAATTAACACGAGGCAGTAAAACACCAACAACTTTTATTCCTTTTTACACAAATTATGATTACAGTTGCAGATTATTGATTAATAAAGACGTATTTTCCTTTGGTTAATTGCACAAAACTATGCCATGACCTCAAAACACTTTTAACATAGTGCATGATTTGTAAACTGACACATGTTGATGTTTGCGTGACTCCGTCACATAACCAGCTCTATACGTTTGGCTTTTCTAGTAAATTTGCTCAGTAGCTCACCATTGCAATGTGGAGGGCTCGGGTATCATTCCTGTGAAACACGAGTTATGATTAAAAGCTCAAAGACTTGTAGAAACAAGCTAAAATTACATGGTTGCTTCACTAAATTCATTTTAGCTCACTTTTGCTTTTGTTTACACACTATTAGGGGGTGTTTACACTACACCGTTTTCAACTAAACGGAAAAATTTAGTTTTGGCCGTTCATTTACATGACAACAGTGTTTTGAGGGGCTGAAAATGCAAACTTTTGAAAACGGGTTTATGAAGACGGGTTTTCTGAGAATGACACCATTATCATTTCAGTATAAACTACAAAAACGCAAATTTGTGAAAACGGTGTGTGGTAGGTTTTTTCTTCTTTCAATCCTGACTTAAGTCTACCTGGGTCTCGTCTACAGTCGACGTCCCCGAACGTCTCCAAACGACGTTAGTTTCCTGTATCTGGGTCTCGTCTACAGTCGACGTCCCCGGACGTCTCCAAACGACGTTAGTTTCCTGTATCTGGGTCTAGTCTACAGTCGACGTCCCCGGACGTCTCCAAACGACGTTAGTTTCCTGTATCTGGGTCTCGTCTACAGTCGACGTCCCCGGACGTCTCCAAACGACGTTAGTTTCCTGTATCTGGGTCTCGTCTACAGTCGACGTCCCCGGACGTCTCCAAACGACGTCAGTTTCCTGTATCTGGGTCTCGTCTACAGTCGACGTCCCCGGACGTCTCCAAACGACGTTAGTTTCCTGTATCTGGGTCTCGTCTACAGTCGACGTCCCCGGACGTCTCCAAACGACGTCAGTTTCCTGTATCTGGGTCTAGTCTACAGTCGACGTCCCCGGACGTCTCCAAACGACGTCAGTTTCCTGTATCTGGGTCTCGTCTACAGTCGACGTCCCCGGACGTCTCCAAACGACGTCAGTTTCCTGTATCTGGGTCTCGTCTACAGTCGACGTCCCCGGACGTCTCCAAACGACGTTAGTTTCCTGTATCTGGGTCTAGTCTACAGTCGACGTCCCCGGACGTCTCCAAACGACGTTAGTTTCCTGTATCTGGGTCTCGTCTACAGTCGACGTCCCCGGACGTCTCCAAACGACGTCAGTTTCCTGTATCTGGCTCTCGTCTACAGTCGACGTGCCCGAACGTCTCCAAACGACGTCAGTTTCCTGTATCTGGGTCTCGTCTACAGTCGACGTCCCCGAACGTCTCCAAACGACGTTAGTTTCCTGTATCTGGGTCTCGTCTACAGTCGACGTCCCCGAACGTCTCCAAACGACGTCAGTTTCCTGTATCTGGGTCTCGTCTACAGTCGACGTCCCCGAACGTCTCCAAACGACGTTAGTTTCCTGTATCTGGGTCTCGTCTACAGTCGACGTCCCCGAACGTCTCCAAACGACGTTAGTTTCCTGTATCTGGGTCTCGTCTACAGTCGACGTTCCCGAACGTCTCCAAACGACGTTAGTTTCCTGTATCTGGGTCTCGTCTACAGTCGACGTCCCCGAACGTCTCCAAACGACGTCAGTTTCCTGTATCTGGGTCTCGTCTACAGTCGACGTCCCCGAACGTCTCCAAACGACGTTAGTTTCCTGTATCTGGGTCTCGTCTACAGTCGACGTCCCCGAACGTCTCCAAACGACGTTAGTTTCCTGTATCTGGGTCTCGTCTACAGTCGACGTCCCCGAACGTCTCCAAACGACGTTAGTTTCCTGTATCTGGGTCTCGTCTACAGTCGACGTCCCCGAACGTCTCCAAACGACGTCAGTTTCCTGTATCTGGGTCTGGTCTACAGTCGACGTCCCTGAACGTCTCCAAACGACGTCAGTTTCCTGTATCTGGGTCTCGTCTACAGTCGACGTCCCCGGACGTCTCCAAACGACGTTAGTTTCCTGTATCTGGGTCTAGTCTACAGTCGACGTCCCCGGACGTCTCCAAACGACGTTAGTTTCCTGTATCTGGGTCTCGTCTACAGTCGACGTCCCCGGACGTCTCCAAACGACGTCAGTTTCCTGTATCTGGCTCTCGTCTACAGTCGACGTGCCCGAACGTCTCCAAACGACGTCAGTTTCCTGTATCTGGGTCTCGTCTACAGTCGACGTCCCCGAACGTCTCCAAACGACGTTAGTTTCCTGTATCTGGGTCTCGTCTACAGTCGACGTCCCCGAACGTCTCCAAACGACGTCAGTTTCCTGTATCTGGGTCTCGTCTACAGTCGACGTCCCCGAACGTCTCCAAACGACGTTAGTTTCCTGTATCTGGGTCTCGTCTACAGTCGACGTCCCCGAACGTCTCCAAACGACGTTAGTTTCCTGTATCTGGGTCTCGTCTACAGTCGACGTTCCCGAACGTCTCCAAACGACGTTAGTTTCCTGTATCTGGGTCTCGTCTACAGTCGACGTCCCCGAACGTCTCCAAACGACGTCAGTTTCCTGTATCTGGGTCTCGTCTACAGTCGACGTCCCCGAACGTCTCCAAACGACGTTAGTTTCCTGTATCTGGGTCTCGTCTACAGTCGACGTCCCCGAACGTCTCCAAACGACGTTAGTTTCCTGTATCTGGGTCTCGTCTACAGTCGACGTCCCCGAACGTCTCCAAACGACGTTAGTTTCCTGTATCTGGGTCTCGTCTACAGTCGACGTCCCCGAACGTCTCCAAACGACGTCAGTTTCCTGTATCTGGGTCTGGTCTACAGTCGACGTCCCCGAACGTCTCCAAACGACCTCAGTTTCCTGTATCTGGGTCTCGTCTACAGTCGACGTCCCCGAACGTCTCCAATCGACGTTAGTTTCCTGTATCTGGGTCTCGTCTACAGTCGACGTCCCCGAACGTCTCCAATCGACGTTAGTTTCCTGTATCTGGGTCTCGTCTACAGTCGACGTCCCCGAACGTCTCCAAACGACGTTAGTTTCCTGTATCTGGGTCTCGTCTACAGTCGACGTCCCCGAACGTCTCCAATCGACGTTAGTTTCCTGTATCTGGGTCTCGTCTACAGTCGACGTCCCCGTTCAATAATATTTATAATCTAGTGCGTCTCCTCATCGACGTCGGCTGAGTCCCCCAAGTACGTTATTTTCACATGCGATAAAGCATTAACATTTTAGTGCCACTCACTGGACATTTAATCTGCCGTGATAAGTACAACAACCATTACTATTAAAAACATTAGCAAACTACCCACGTTCACCTGTTTTGAGGAAAATCAAATGGACTTTTAGTGCCACACTAGACATTACACTTTAAAAATGTCGCAAACTGCACAAGTGTAACTCGTCCACCCGGGCCCTACTCGGCCTGCTCTCTGCGGGCCTTGAACCCGGGTCTCCGGCGTGAGAGTCAGGCGCTCTAACAAGGAGGCTAAAGTCTGCAGCCCCAGTGTGTTGTGATTGGTCAACTGCTTTAAGCGAGAAATACCCCGCCCCAACTCATTTTAGTCCCTTTATTTTGCGTATGCCTTGGGCGGGAATTATTTAAATGGGGAATATTGTAACATGTTCATTCCCAGAAGAAAACTCAAGACTACAATGGAGGCGTTTCAGGGAGTTCAGAAACACTGACACTGATATAGAGAATAACTCCCGCTGGAGAGACTCTTTGTATCTTTGCAGACCTTTTTCATGCTCAAACAGCAACATTACACAATAAAGAAAGCTGAAAATGTAAAATGCCTAATAGGACCCCTTTAAAGGTTTGCTCAGCTGCCTGATTGGTGGAGACTCACGATAATGATGGAGCAGGAAATGGTAACGGCCGCCATCATCTTGTGAGAGATGGTGTCTGGTCTGTAGGGGTAACGAATGGTCTCGTCATCACAGTAAACGCCACGCTGGTAAGGCCGGAACATGATGGTCATTATGATGAATGGCATCGCCACTGAAACACAAACAACAGCGTTATTATTGGGCTCAGATGGCTGGCTCAGTAACACACATCAAACAAATCATCTAGCGCATGTCTTGTGTTGAATTTTCCATGGGAACAACAAAAAAGAAAAAAATGCTTTTATAATAGGAAACAGATGACATTCAAGTTCATCAGTGCTTCTGCGAATCATGCAGGAAAAAAAAATGAAAATCAACACAGATAGTGTACAACAGACTTTTCCACATCAAGAGATATTATTGACCAATCATAAATGTCAAACACATGTTGTGGATTCAGTAATGCTGGATAATCTTCCACTTGCCATCCAGATACAGGATGTCAGTGGGAATTATCGCCAGGGTCACGGCACCAGATGTCAGTTCAACAGATGCCCACAACAGTATCTCATAACCAGGAAAAGCACTGATTTATGTCTCCAACATGTGCAACTCCACTATTTTTTTAATCAAAAGTCATGAGAACCTCTGGTCGTGTTTCTCAAAGCCTGAATATTCCACGCAGCTCTTTTCCCATCGGACAGCAAAAATGCCAATCAGATTTATCAGGGACCGTCGAGGGAAAATAATCTTTGGATATTGAGGCAGAGTGAAATATATTTGCTTCATCATCAAGTTCATCAACATATTTTCTATTCCCACAGCAACGGTAACTTTCCCAAGATCAGGACCTTGGAGTCCAGTCATATTATATTACTTGAATCCACACATGACCACGACCAAATTACAGATTCAAACCAGCCTTAGTCAGAACAAGTTTAAAGATGTGCTCCCAAAAGGACTAAAGGCTCCAAAAATGTGGAGCGTAAAAGTATTTGGACACTTAAAAATGCGTGAATGTCATCAAACCAAATAGCATTTATGTTAAAGAAAATTAAGACATGCCCACTTTTCAAGCAAAATGTATTCTTATTCTATTTATTCATATAGCACATTTGTTAGAAGAAAAAGACAAATCTTTATTTAAAAGATCTTTTTAAATTAAATGCTCAAACTTAAAGATTTATATTCAAGTTTAAAATATAAAACAATAAATATAGTTACATATTGAAGATGAAAAATATTTTAACATTTTAAGTTTGAAAAAAAAAAAAAAAAAAAAAAGAAGCTCGCTTTTGACATTATCTAATGCAATAAAATGAGTGTTCAAAAGTGCCATGGTACTTTCATGATCACTATGTTTGTATCAGAGTGCATTTTTTGATTTTTGGCAAATGCATGTTTGGCTTTTAATATATAGCTAATAATTATTTACGAAGCATTGTTGGTACTGTAGGTCATCCATACATCATATATTTCCAGAAAGAAAAATCCCCATTTTAGATCCAACAAGACATCCTGTGAAAGGTTTAAAATGTGTTGAGTAAGCATGCATTGTTTTCAGACACAAAGAATACAAGTTTTTCTTGCACAAAAGGAAATGTCAATAAACCCAGATGGGCTGTAAAAGGGAAAAAAATGGCTTACATTCATTACATTGACACAATGGCACCAGCAACCACACACATTTTCACAATGAATTCGACTGTAAAGCTGTCTTTTAACAGATGCGAGGGGATGACAATGAGCTTTGGGGGTCGTCTGTTGGAAACTCATAAAACTTTAATTAGAACCTTACAGTGTCAACGAAGGCAGAGTTATAAGCTCAGCTACTGTTAACCTCGATGTCAAAGCCTACATGAGCAGCTGCCTTGAAAGTTCATTTATGCATACAAATAATTCCACATTAAATTACATATAAATAAAAATCTGCTATTCTAAAAAAAAAATTACACTTCCAAGCTGGCATATATGACATCATTATCTTAAAATTTTATGAAATAAATCAGTAAAACTTTACAATAAAGTTCCATTAGTTCATGCATTAAAGGGATAGTTCACCCAAAGATGGAAATTCTGTCATTAATCACTCGCCCTCATGTCGTTCCAAAACTGTAATACTTTCGTTCATCTTCTGAACACAAATTAAGATATTTTTGATTAAATCTGAGAGCTGGATCACTCCTCCAAGGGATCGAAACTGGCCGGCCCAAAAGTTATTAAAGACATCGTTAAAATAGTCCGAGTGACTACAGTGGCTCAACCTTAAGTTTTATCAAGCGACGAGAATACTTTTTGTGCGCAAAAAAACAAACAAAAATAACGACTTTATTCAACTATTCATTTCCGATTTCACGTAGTGTAACTGCGCAACGCTTCTAGTTTCGATCCCTTAGAAGCCTATGGAGGAGTGATCCATCTCTCAGATTTAATCAAAAATATCTTAATTTGTGTTCCGAAGATGAACGAAAGTCTTACGGGGTTGGAACAACATGAGGGAGAGTAATTACTGACAGAATTTTCATTTTGGGGTGAACTAACCCTTTAATTACTCACACTCATGTCGTTCCAAAACTGTAATACTTTTGTTCATCTTCTGAACACAAATGAAGATCTTTTTGATGAAATCTGAGAGCTTTCTGTCCCTCCATTGACAGCTACACAAATATTACTTTGATGGTTCAAAAAGTTCATAAAGAGATCGTAAAACGAATCCATATGAATTGAGCGGTTTAGTCCAAATTTTCTGAAGACACTACAGTTAAAGTTAAAGGGAAAGTTGACCTTTTTGGGTGAACTATCCCTTTAACGAACAATGAAAAATGCTGAAATTAAGATTAATCAATGCTTTAGAAGTATTTTTCATTTTAATTTCTCTCACTTTCACCAACTTTTCTCAACTTTTTTCAATTAGCTTGTTGCAAAGCATTCTGGGATTGCATTCTCTGCAGAGGATTAGACTACCTTTGAATAGAAAACCTCTTAAAAAGCAACATAACTAGACTTTTAAAACGTGCGTAACATGCTTCCTATGTAACTTACAATTTGGGAGCAGAGCCACATTCTGACTCAGACTGATAACATTGTTATGAAAGGGTTGAACCTTTAGTTGCAGAAACGCAGCCCCTGATTTAAACAAGTTAAAGGTTATTTTACACGAGACTCTCAAATCATGCGTGTGAAGGTTAGACTGTCCTAAAGGAACACGACCGTCCACTATTACAGGACATTCAGAGCCTTGAGGTTAACAGTCTCTATCAGAACTCTCTCTGTATGTCAGACTGTAAAAAACACACAAAACAACCTTTAACCTCCTTCCACTCAAAGCCTTTTCTCTCCCTTCCTTCTTCCATCATTATCTGTCGATTACAAATCTCCCTCTTCCTTCTTGTTTGAAGAGACCGCATCATTCGGTTTTCCTCAGTTTAAAGACATTCAGTTCATCTAGAGCAAAGTTCAAGACGAAGATAACCAAGATGAAGTTCAGGAAACAGGTTTAAAAAAAATCATCTTTGCAGTTCCATTTGATCAAATTAAACACTTTAAAGCAACACTAAGTAAGATTTTTTACCTTAAAATAATGTTTTCAAAATCGTTTCAGTGGTTCATCAAGTCGTGACATGGTGAAATGCACTTAGGCCACCGCTTTGCGGTCCTTTATCTGATATAACCACGCTATGTAAGATTTCCAGATCGGGTCGCGTTTCTGTAGTCCGAATGAGACATAAGAAAACTACAAGTTTGACTTGCTTTACGGCAAGCGTACTCGACAGTAGACTACAACTACATGTAAGATACCTAGCAGCCGGGTAGCTTTTGAATTGTCATCATGATTCCAAAGCCAGTGCTGATAAACAGCGAGCGTGTGTGCGACAGTAGGATGCGGTAGACTAAATTATTTACGACAGCAGTAATGGACAATTCCACTTCCAACCTGTAGGGCGACCGCAGAGGAAAAGTTACTTGGTGTTGCTTTAACGATAACATTTGTGTTTATGTGACAAAATATGCATTTATTTCAGATTGCGTGATTGATAGCAAATCTCAACTTGTTTATATTATCGCATAATTTAAACTAATTATCATTCAGTGATATATTTGGATGTAGTACCTGCATACATACAGTACTCACATAAAGAAATGTATATAGCAAAATCTCAACTGCTTCATTGCTTGTATCGTCATAATGTCAAATATATTTTCGCCCAGTTCTAATCTGCTAAATAACTATAAGGCATGAAAATATTAAGATATTCTAAACACTAACATCATGATTTTCTGTAGAGCTGCTTTGAAACGGTGTATTGTGAGCAGCACTATACAAATAAAAATGTAATGGAAAAGTTCTCAGCTCACGACAAATGTGTCACAGGTCTGTTCTGAAAAACAGTAATAATAGCGATCATACAGTCATACAGTTGGGATAGCAACTTTAGCTTTATCAACTGTAGCTTATCAACTTTAAGGGTTTGATGCTTCCAAATTCAACTCTCCCCTGGTAAAAGCTAGACTAAGGGTGTGTTCACACTTGTAATTCGGTTCTCTTGATTCAGACCAAAAAAGAAAATAATACTGGTTCGCTTAGCATTCACACAGTCATTTAAGACCGAACATAAAGATAAGAAACAACAACAAAGCAGCTTTTATGGCGTATATTTTAGTATAAACAATTGTGGCACCATATCAGATAACAAACACATATAAAATACTGTATAATGAAGCAAAACTTTGTGTGTTTTTGAATGTTATTAGTCGACCATATTGCGACATTATAATGTGTTGTTTTTACAACAAATTGTGAAATTTATTTAAAAAAAATACGGTAACACTTTATTTTGATGGTCCCTTTTGAACATTCTGTTGTCTATATTAAGTACATTTGCAACTACATGTCAACTACCTCTCATTACAGTATTAGTAGACTGTCTGCTTAATATCTGCCAACTCTTTATTGTGATGCTCCTCCAACAGACATTCTACAGACTATAAGTAACTTTGCAACTACATGTCAACTTATTCTAAACCTAACCCTACCAGTCTACTAATACTCTACTAACACTCTAGTGAGAGTTAGTAGAGATGTAGGTGCAACGTTACTTATAGTCAACTAAATGTGTTAAAGGGACCATCCAAATAAAGTGAAACCAAAAAAACTAACAAAAAACTGATGAT